GTGTAATCATCTCTTACACCGGCTAATTACCGATGGCGTTATTTGTGTATTACAGTTCATTCATATTCCTAATCACATGTCCTTTCACAGACTGGGACCCAGCCCAGGAGGCGCTGATGAATTCTTTCTTTCTTTTTTTTTTTTTTATCCTCACCCGAGGACATTTTTCCATTTTTTGTTCAGGTAGAGTGGGAGGGAGAGAGAGGAGGAGAGAGAGAGAGAAACATCGACGTGAAAGGGACACATCCAGTGGCTGCCACCCGCTCGACCAAACAGGGCCGGGGACAAACTGCAACCGAGGTACATGCCCTTAGCGGGAACCGAACCCGGGTCTCTCTGGACCACAGGCTGACTCTCTAACCGCTGAGCCAAACTGGCCAGGGCGCTGATGAATTCTTTCAAACAACAGAAAAGTCAGCGGATGAAACGCTTGGCTTCCGGGCCACCTCGAGGTCGCTGCCACACGGGAAGACAGCAAAGGTCCCGGGTGGGGAACCGGGATCTCACGCCTGCCACCGAGTTCACAGCGGCCGCCCCCGGCCCAGCACGCACGACCCGCCCGTGTTAGGACCCCCTGCTCTCTGGTCTGCCTTCTGATGGCAGGCTGCTCGGAGGGGCCTTTGTAGGTCAAGGGGCGCGTGCCCAGCCGAGGAGCTGGGGGGACAGCCCCGGGGCCCAGGGCCGAGTCCCACCTGTGAAAGCCGTCCGTCGGCTGGGATGGGGGTGTGGATGCTGACCAAGGCAGACGAGACGCCAAACTTCTTTTCCATCAAGAATTTGAGTCACATTTTTTTTTTTTTATCCTCACTCGAGGACATTTTTTCCATTTTTTTGTTCAGATAGAGTGGGAGGGAGAGAGAGGAAGAGAGAGAAAGAAACATCGATGTGAAAGGGACACATCAAGTGGCTGCCACCCGCACGACCAACCAGGGCCGGGGACAAACTGCAACCGAGGTACATGCCCTTAGCGGGAACCGAACCCGGGTCTCTTGGGACGACAGGCCGATGCTCCGATGCTCCAACCACTGAGCCAAACCGGCCAGGGCTCAGTCACATTTTTTTATAGCTCCTTCCCGCATGGTTTGCGGGGCAAGAGAAAAGCAATCAGCGAGGTGACCAGACGTCCAGGAGCAACGTAGCTGGACAGAGGGGCTGAGTCACTGGTGGTCACTGTCCATTAGTGCCCTCAACAAGTGCAACCTGAATCAGAGGCTCGGAACGGAAAAGACAGTGTGAGAGCAAAGCGAAGCGCCAACTCCCAGCCCAGGGTGGGGAACAGAGGCCGGGACCCAGCCAGGCAGCCACCCCTGCCGCAGCGGCTGCGTCCCCACCCCATGGCCCCTGGCTTGGCCTGAACCACTGCTGACCGACGGCTCTCAGGGAAGTGCAAGGTTCTCCTCCAGCGGGCACAGGAGCTCCCTCCCGGGGAGGGGGCGGGACGGGCGCAGGAAGGAGTGTGACAAAGGGTAGAACTTCCCGGTGGTTAAAATGCCCCGGGACCAGGGCTCCAGCTCTACAGTCTTTGTTTCCCAGAAGGGAGCCTCCTGTGGCCACAGACCCTAAGGCCTCTGGAGAAGGGCAGAGAGAGGGGACGTTGGTTAGGAACCTGCGGCGGCAAGTCTCTGACCCCCCGGCAGTGCCTGGACAGTCCCTCCTGAAGGGTTAATAATGTTTTAAAGGGTAAAGGCAAATTCTTGCAAAAGGCAGAAACTACGAAAAATGCGTTGCTTGCAAGACCTTTGCTCAGCCTTCTGTTGAGCACGGATCTGACCTTTGCTCAGCCTTCTGTTGAGCACGGATCTGACCTTTGCTCAGCCTTCTGTTGAGCACGGATTATCGGATTATCCGCATGAATCACCCAGCAGAGGCAGGACGAGACACCAGACCAGTCCAACTGCAAAGTGGACAGTGGGCCAGGCAGGTACGTCAGCAGGAACTGCCGGAAGCTAGAAGCAGAGTATGTAACCTTCACCCCAACTGTTATTCGGGGCTGACTCCTTTTCTGGACTCAGCCTGCCTGCCCCCAGGTGTTTGCAGCAAAGCTACTGCACTCTGCGCTGGGCCTGCGCTGGGGTGTGATCTCCCGCGGGCTGCGACGCCAGGGCAGCGGAGCCTGTGCTGGGAGCGTCCACTCCGTGGTGCTGGACAGACCACCACAAACGAGCGGCTTCAAGCAGCGCCGGTGCGCCATCCCACGGTTCCGGAGTCAGAGGCCTGACACGAGTCCTCTGGGGCTAAAAGCAAAGTGTCGCCGGGGCAGGCTCCTGCCGGAAGTCCGGGCCTTGTCCAGCTTCTGGGGGTGCCTGTGTTCCCTGGCTCGTGGCCCCCCCTCCGACTCCAGAGTCCCGGTCACAGGAGACGTTCAGCCCACCACAGCGTGTTGGAGCTAACACAGCACTAAACAGCAGCTGAACATCCCGAGGGCTCCCTCCAAGGGCATCCCGGGGGCACTAGGATGCCCAGAGACACGCGGGCTCACCAACAGGAGGCTGGCATGGGAACAAGGCCTGGTCTCCCGGACCGGGTCTCGGCACCACACCGCTGTCCCACCAGACAGAGGGACAGGGGCTCAGACACTTGGACATTGTCTTCTCCCAGGTGGTGACGGCCACGTGGTCCCTTTCATTCGGTAAGTCCCCATGGTGGACTGTCCTGTCAGAACTGCCCGGCAAGCGTCCTGCCTTGAACAGGGGCGGGTATGTGATCTCCCGCCCCGTGGGAAAGGAGTGGGGTGTCATGGGGTCCCTGATGCGAGGGCTCTGCGGCTCCCTAGGTCCCTGCAGCCTGCCCTCTGCCTTCTTTTCTCCTCGATTCTACCTGACGTCTTTCCAATAAAGACCCCTCAGCCACCAAAGCCCCTGGCCGCCACCCAGAGCATTCCAGCCCCTGGCTGCATTGGCACGGTGCTGGGGGCTGGGAAGGGCAGGGACCTTGCGTCCTCCCACAGGTGCGGAAGCCGAGCCCGGAGGGGTGCCTGTCACCTCTCCACGGCACAGCCGGGAGGCACGGTGCTGGGGATCCTGCAGTGTCAGCCTCGGCTGCTTGAGACACACACAGGGACAGCACGCACCCGCGCCCCGCAGATGTAAGGAGCCAGCCCTCCCCTGCCTGGTTCGAATCCCCCACCAGCCATCACTCCAGCTATCTCGAATTCATTCCAGTCTTGGGAAGCAAATACGAGAGTTCAGCTCCCTCTCCTGAGCGCACCCCGCCCTCTGGGCCAGCGCTCACATGAATTTTTAACGTAAGCCCATGACACTTGAAAGCAATCCCTGGCCGGCTCCCGGGGCCATGTCCGCCGGCCTCTCCCCGCCCCAGGGCCTTCTCGCAGCCCAGTCAGCAGCCGCTCCAGTTCAGAGCCCAGGTGGGCCCGGCGGACAGCACAGAAGGCCCAGGGGCCATGTCTGGGGACTGTCAGGCCCAGGGTCTCAGGCCAGGAGAACAGGACACCGTGCCTGGGGCACCGGCGCTGGATTCGGCTGCCGGCAGTACAGGGAATTCATCCTGGGAGACAGGCTGCAAAGTGGTCCCTGAAGAAGCCGTACGAGCTGCCTGGCCTGTGACTGTTGCTCAGCCGGGACCCCACCAGCCTTCGCCTCTTCCTGCAAACCCTGTGGGTAACCGACCAGGCAGGGGCAGCGCAGCCCGGCACCCGCAGACCAGGGCCGACCTTTTCCCAGGTCAGACTCCCCCGGGAGGAAGCCTCTCTGTAGGGCCGACTTTGGCCCCTTCCTTATTGCTCCCACAAAACACACCAGTTTTCAGGGTGCCCCAGGCCCTCCAAGGTTCCAGAAGGTTGTAATTGTTTGTCCGGTTCACCTGGGCACCCCGGCGCCCAGCAAGGACCCTCCCCTGGCCACCCCTGCCGAGAAGGAACTGCCACCCTGCTTCCGTGACAGCCCTGGACACGGAGAGGTGGGGCAGGGCCGGGCGCCGGGCTGGAGCTGCTCAGCTCAGAACTGGCACGAGGTCCCAGAGCCCTGCGCTGTGAGCCAGAGTGGCCCCGGGCCCCCCCAGCCCAGCGAGAGAGACACAGGCGCCGGCCTAGGCCGCTCTCTCCTGGCGCTCCTGCCTGCCACTCTGGGCCCCACCCCGCGGCTCACGTGTCACAGCGAGAGGCACGGACCTGCCCTCACCGCCCTCGGGTCGGGCTTTCCGAGTCTGCCACCCAGAAGCTTTCGCAGCCACGAGTCAAGGGAAGGGGGCGAAAGATGACATCCCGCTGAGACCCGTGGACAGTCCTGGTGAGCTGCCCTGCGTGTCCCATCCCCGTGGTCACTGAGCTCCGCGCTGGCCCTCGGTTCACACGCCCCTCTGAGGGGCTGAGTGCAGTCGGGTGACCCTCAGACCCCGAGGGCCACCCCCAGCGTGTCTCCCGGGCACACGCCCCCCGCCCGCCCGCCCTTTCGCCGTGTCCGAGCTCCAGCTGTGCTTCCGGCCGGCTCCCACAGGAAGCGCCGGGCCGGTTCCCAGCCCAGGGTCCCCTGTGCAGGCCACGGTCACTCTGCCTTTCCTGTGGGGCCCCAGGTGACCAGGACGTCACCAGGATTTACCAAAGGGTCTGCTCAGGAGCCTGGGGCACGGGGTGGCCTTGAACCCACAAAGTGCCCCCTCTCAGACCAGCAGTCAGCCAAGGCCAGGGACACTCAGACCAAACAACAGAACACGCAGCTCGGCTGAAGGGGCCAAGCCAGTGAAACCAGCTCACAGAAGAGCTGCGGCAGGACGGACTGCCTGTCACCCTGAGGACTCTGCCAGCGACAGGACAGCCTCCTGCCTCAGGTCCCCACTCCTCCCTGCTGCGCCGGGGTGCTGCCTCTGGGCCCGGAAGACGGTTACCGGATTCACACAGAGCCTTTCCCAGCGGCCCACTCGCCGGCCCCCGAAAACTCTCAGCAAAACGCACGAAGGCAGAGCTGGGGAGAGGCAGCCGGCGCGGCAGGCGGCTGGGTCCCCGGCAGGGCCAGCGGTGCCGAGGGACGCTCGGACGAAGCACTTACCTTCTTCTTGTTGGCCGGAGAGATGTAGAAGCTGTCGATGACGGTGGTGAAGCCAGGCTGCAGGGCAAGCTTGGTGTAGGTCGTCCCAAAGTCCGACGACCTGGGGGAACAGGACCACAGCGGTCAGCGACCTGCCCCGCCAAGGGCAGGTGGACAGGCCACGCGCCCTCCCTGTCCCAGGCAGCAGGAGACTGGGCTCCCCCGGGACGCCGGGCAGTCACGTTGGCCCGGAGCCAGGACCTGGAGTGGCTGTGCCAGCCAGTGTCCCGGCCGAGTCACCTCCTCTGGGCGGCCCGCAGTGTGTGCAGTGTGCTTATTTTTGCCTCTGCTACACCTGCGTCCTGCTGGCTAGGAAGGGCCTCAGGTGTGCCAGACACTTCTAGATCCTTCCATCTCTGATTCCTCTGTGGCCGTCGCTCAGAGGACCAGGGGCTCAGAGGCTGCTGCCCGGAGCCACTGAGCTAACAGGTGGCTGGCTCAGGGCTGGCATCCTGTGTGCTGGCCCCCGGCCCCCTGGACCCTGAGCTCCCACAGAACCTGCACCCCCACCCTGACTGCGTGCCCACAGGACACAGCTCCGGTGCTGCCGGAAAGAGGCCCCAGGGCGCCAGCCCCTCCCCTCCTGTCTGCCTGAGGGTGCAGGCGGGAGACCAAGGGCACTCGCACGTCTGCACTGGAAGCCACGTGGAATGAACTCTGTGGGTTCCAGTGCCGGAGACCCTGACACTGCGGCCCTGAGTACCCCCAGGACAACACAGTGACCTAGGAGCGCGCCGGGAGCTGGGGGAACACCCGATGAGGAAGTGTGGGCTCCAGGACTTTCCCAGAGCGTCCCCATCTTTGATGGGGGAGGATGGGGGAGGAACTGAACCCACGGTGGGGACAGGGACGGGGTGGGGTCCACCCCCACCCCAGCCTGTCCATCACCTAGTAACGTCCTGTCCCATCACCCTGGGCCTGCAGGAGCTGAGCGTCAGGGCCGGGGCTGCTCCAGCCTCTGTGAGGGGCCCTCAGCTGGACTCCGGGGGGCCTGTGCCCCTGACCTAAGGCCCCAGCACCCAGTGGGGCCCGGCGCCCATCATGTGGCCTGAGCATCTCTGTCCTGCTCGGACACCGAGGGACTTGGGAGACCTGTGCTTCTCAGACTTGCCCAGGGCTTCTAGGGGCCCAGGGGGCAGGCCTGGAGCCACTTTAGGGTGAACACCCCACCCCAGGAGCACTTAATTCCATCCCATAATATGCCCCGAGTGATTTCCACAGGAATCATTTTCTCCCCAAATCTCCAAGTGAAACTGAGGCTCCAGGAAGGAGGGCTTAGTGGCCACAGGGCCCCGTGGCCCCAGTGGTCAGGTCCCTCCCAGGTCTGGATGGAGGTGGGCCCCCACCCCCTCCCACCCCCGATGCCCCAGGGAGTCCCGCAGGGCCAGCCCCTCCCTGGGGAGGCTGGGAGAGGATCCTTGGGCTCAGACTTCCCTGGGCCTCCCCAGGGAGGACAGACAGGAGGGAATGAAGACGCCCCTGGAGGTGTGGTTCGGGCAGCATCTACCCGCCAACCTCGGAGAGTTTGTTTTCTTTGGGAAGGAGGCAGCCCAAGCACTTCAGCAGAAAGTTGCTCCAGAGACCCAGGGAATTCTAGTCTCAGAAACAAGTGCCTGTGTTTGGGCTTGATGCACGGAAGCCACCTCTGGGCCTCCTGGTCCCCCCCGCCCCCTCCCACCACAACAAGCCACCTGCCATTGATTCTGCTCCCCCCGACACCCCAGAACCCAGTCCTTCCCTCCGTCCCCCGGCCTCAGCCTCCTCCCTGCCCCACCCTCAGCCGGAACAGCCTGCTCAGGGCACCTGCTGATGCCCTTGGCCGGAGCGTGTCCCACCCAGGCCCTCTTGCCCAGAACCTACACTCCAGGGGGCAAGGCGAGGAGGGTGGTAAAGAAATAAACAGAATAATACAGCCAGTCAAGTGCCAGGGGGAGAAGAAATAACAGCGTGTGGGCAGTGGGTGCTGGCTCAGAGGGATGGCGGAGGGCCCTGGGCCTCAGAGACTGGAAGGTAGGAAGGAAGTGACTGATCCTGGCTGGGGGACATAACGTCCACCCGAAACCTGTGAACGGGACCTTCTCTGCAAATAGGGCCTTTGAAGACATGGTCAAGGCGAGGTGAGGTCGCAGGGCGGGACCTCTCCCAGTGACGGGTGGCGCAGAACAGGGAAATCTGGGCGCAGAGACGCAGACCCTGGGAGATATCACGTGACAACGGATCGCGGGCCCCACCAGACGCTGGGAGAGAGGCCCCGCACAGACTGTCCCCCAGAACCTCCAGGAGGAGCCAGCCCTGCCCCTCTCGAAGCCCCCAGACAGGGTGGTGAATTTCCTACCGGCCGGTGGGGCCTGTCATCGCGACCACAGGGGACGTGGAGAACGGGAGAGACGGCTCAGATGGGCTGGGGCTGGGGGTCCGGACAGCCCCTCGGTGGAGCGTGCCCCCCTGGCACCCAGCAAGCCTGTGGGACAGGCTCAGATGGGCCAGTCGGAGCAGCACAGTGTCCCCTGTGGCAGGGGCACCCCCCAGGGAGCCATGTGACCCCGGGGGCATGAGGCACTGTGACCCAGGCTTATTCGGAGCCAGGAGCTGGGGGCCAGGGCGTCTGGGCCCACACCCCACTCTGCTACTGACGTTCGGGTCTCCCTGGTCACACTCAAGGTTCGGGCACCGGTTTCCCCTCCGAGGAATCGGACGGTTGGAATCAGGGGATCCCTGGGGTCCCCATCAACAGAAAGGCTGTGGTCATGTGCCCTTAACCAGGGGGTCCCCGCCTGTCACCTGGCCTCCCAGCATCCCCTGCGAGGCCCGTTCTCAGGGACACTCTTGGCCAGACCTCCTTACTTCCGCTGGCCACCTGTTCTCAGACCAAGGCACACCGGTGAGCAAGTCGGGCAGGGACGGTGTCTGGATAGGAAGGTGTCTTCCAGGAAACGAAATTGGAGACTGTCGGTTTCCCACGGTCTCTGCCTCTCCCCGGGGTGTCGGGGGGTGGAGGGATGCCTGAGATAAGCACCCACTCTTCAGAACGTGCAATGATTCTGCTGCAAACCTGGGGTGACTGGACACGTGCCAGACGCCCGATGATGGTGGTCTTGTCCTTCCCGGGAGCAAGGTCAGAAGGACCGAACCGGCTGCAGCAGGCGGCTCCCGCTGCATTTGTGGGCACGGAGACGGGGGAGAGAGGCGGGGGGAGGGGCCCCGAAACATGCTCAGGAGAGAGGACGTCCGGCGCGCAGGCATTGGTGTTCCCGCGGAAGGAGTGACAGCCACGGGCTCCCCTCTCAGACCCGGAAACCCCTGCGACCACTTCCTGGGGTTCCAAGGCGCCGGCTCAGGCCTGGACCCCACCCCATAGGTAATGCTGACGACGGGTTCGATGAAGGGGAGAAATCAAGGCCGGATGGGGGCTCCAGAAGCTGGGTCCCCCCGGCCACCATCGCAAGTCCTGCAAACAGGGCTTCAGGCAACAGGGGCCTGTTCTCAGAGTCCCAGAGGCCAGAGTCCCAGCCAAGGTGTGGGCAGGCCAGGCTCCCTCCGAGGCTCCGGGAGGGGCCTGCCTCTCCCATCCTGGTGGCCAGCTCTCGTGGGCTTCTGGCCGCAGCTCCCATCTCCGCCTCCGCCTCGCGGCCTCTCCGTGGGCCCCAATCGCCCTGGGGGCAGCTCCACACCAGAAGACTCCACTTCCATCCCTGCGGATCACACCTGCGGGCCCTGCCTGCACGGGGTCATGCTGGGGGCTCTGGGCAGACAGGAGCCGGAGGGGCGCTGCCCTGCTCACGACCGGCCGCTGCGTTCGTTGAGCGCCGGTCCTGTACGAGAGGGACTCCGAATTAGACACCGTATGTTCCCGATGCTTGTTTAAGTCTCCCCACAGCCCCAGGGTGCCAACCCTGACCCGAATGCCACCTCCTCCTGGAGTTCCTACAGATCGCCAGGTCAGGGAGGCCGCGGTCACCAAGATCGTCCGCAGCAAGGCCGGGTCAGGGAGGCCACGGTCACCAAGACCGTCCGCAGCAAGGCCGGGTCGGGGAGGCCGCGGTCACCAAGACCGTCCGCAGCAAGGCCGGGTCGGGGAGGCCGCGGTCACCAAGACCGTCCCGCAGCAAGGCCGGGTCGGGGAGGCCGCTGTCACCAAGACGTCCGCAGCAAGGCCGGGTCGGGGAGGCCGCGGTCACCCAGACCGTCCGCAGCAAGGCCGGGTCTGGGAGGCCGCGGTCACCAAGACCGTCCGCAGCAAGGCCGGGTCGGGGAGGCCGCGGTCACCAAGACCGTCCGCAGCAAGGCCGGGTCGGGGAGGCCGCGGTCACCAAGACCGTCCGCAGCAAGGCCGGGTCGGGGAGGCCGCGGTCACCAAGACCGTCCGCAGCAAGGCCGGGTCGGGGAGGCCGCGGTCACCAAGACCGTCCGCAGCAAGGCCGGGTCGGGGAGGCCGCGGTCACCAAGACCGTCCGCATCAAGCACTCAGCAAATGCTTGCGGGCTCCCTGGAGGTGCTCAGGGTCCCAGACCCCGAGCTGTGTGACCTCGGGTGAGCAGGGTGCCCACACTGAAAATGTGAGGACTGCATCTGATCATGTCTAAGCACCAGCACTAACAAGTGACCCCTGAGCCTGCCTGATGGGGAGAGACTCCCCCCTCATCGGGGGACAGTGTCAAAATTCCTTTGAGAGCTCAGGTGTCTGGGAGGGAGGAAGGGAAGAAGGAGGGAGGGAGGGAGGGATGGAAGGAGGAAAGTAGGGGGGATAGAGGGGGGAGGGGGTAGAGGGAGGGAAGGAAAGATGGAGGGAGGGGGAGAGGGAGGAAGGGAGGGATAGAGGAAGGGAGGGATGAAAGGAGGAAGGGAGGGAGGGATGGAAAGAAGAAGGTAGGGAGGGATAGAGGGAGGGAGGGAAACATGGTCACTGAGGCCTTCGCTGTGCCCCACTCCGGGCCCTCAACATCCATGCCATCTCCAAATTCTAACTGCATCCGGCAAGATGGACCCGGCCCTTCGGATCTCCCTCTGTTCAGAGAACAAGAGAGCGCCTCCGAGGGGCAGGCAGAACCCAGGAGGGCAGTG